TCTATTTGTGATCGTTCATTTCAGTTGCATCCACAAATCGTTCGTGTTTAATATTGGTCTTTTCAGTAAACTGCCGACCGGCACAGCTTAGCAGGCTCCTAGAGGTCCTCTAGTTCTAAGATCTCAGGGTGTTTGTCGCGTCTCATTTGCTGATTGTTTGTTCCGTGGCAAATATAGACTAAAACGATTGGTAGTGACCTTTAGTTTCCAAGCGCTGTAATGTATGAAATTGACTGTCTGAGGAGCGAGGATTTCAATTTGTTCAGAGGACATTCAACCGCTGTTTCGGGAGTAAAGAGGAACCTACAATTTTATCAATTACTCCGCTAAATTTAGCGAGGAAGCTACATTGGTGTATAGATTATGTGACGTCAATGTTTTTGGTAAATTTATTGGATGCAATGAATTAATATGTAGGTCCAGTGACTTATAAATTTTCCTGAAAATAGTAGAGGGGGGAAATTAATTAGTCCCTCGTCCACATGACGTTCATTTTCCCGCTAAATGTAGCGGAGTAATACACAGACAGGTGGACGGTCATTTTTTGTGGCATTTGAGGCTTCCGATGGCATTTGTTGCTTTCCAATAGTAATTGGGCTTCCGCCCCAATGCACATTTTAAGCTGCTACTTTTAAATCAGAGACCGTATTACGAAAGGAAGAAATTACCGGCGGACGTTCTGCCGCTGCGCAAGGAAAAAGAGCTCCGCGTGATTTTTATTGACCTGGAACCAACGTTACTAGAGCTATTGAACTGGGCAACTGCTATAGAGCCTGCTCGGGAAACGTGGCACCTATAGCCCGTTTCAGCGTACGTCCGAGCGCAGCGGATGCTACGAGCCATCAGAGCCAATACAAGGCCGTGTGTGGGTCACATGACCTTAGAGAGGGGGCACAGCGACGCGCGGAAAGCGTATCACGAACTACATCCACAGAGCGGAATCGGCTCGGATTGCTCCTATCGTCCGCCGCGTTCGGACGTAAGGTGAAACGGACTATGGTGCCACTAAATAAGCTATACGCTTCAGAGTAACGGTATACTTGCCTGTACTGTGGCTTAAAGTCATGGTGGCCAGTTACCTGAAGCTTTTTCTGAAATCACAGGAAACGCTTTTACGCCCTCCACAGATGTTTAAACAGTTCCCGACAGAGCAAAGCAATATTACCGGAGCTTCCTAACACCGAATCTAATTCTGAGGAAGTCCAACTTTTGAATCTTGACGATTAGCCGCTGCGTCTGCTCGGCTCAAGCACCAAAATGGCGGCGCCCACAACAATGTCGTGGAACAGAGTGCCGATACTTTCAACGCAGCTAATTAAGTGGCTCTAGTGACATCAATCCACACTCAAGGACCGAATTAATGGCGATCGTAACGCCGCCTTTTCCCCCGCAGCGGCCACGCGGCAAACTGCACGGCTGCTTGTATCGGTTCGGGAATATTGCATTGGATAGCGTCCGTTGCGACCGTCCTATTTCGGCTTTAATGAGCCATTTTAGCGCGGAAACATAAACGGTGGAAGGGGTTTCAGGGATGCACCCCCCAAATGGACGCGCTGCGAATTGACACCGTAAGTGACTACGCCACAACATGGCGTCTGGGTCGAAACGAACCGTTGCTAGGGACGTTGCTATGGACTAATGCATGGAGACTCCACATGAGGCTAGATTTTTGCTTACAAGTAAATGATTTTTTGTAAGCAACCTAACTTCTTGATATCGAAATATGAACATGTTCTTGTCGTGTCAGTATCATATTGCAACAGTGAAAGCCATTTCCGAAGCACTACACTCCGCTTTGCTTTGGTAGCAGACGACACGATAGATTTGCTGGCCCCTGTTGCAGCGGGCGTCTTCATTGAATTGCGTCGGTAAACGAGCGAAAAAAAACAACAAGTACATCACCATGGCTGTAGAAACCTCCGCAATGTGCGTTTTTTTTCTTCATTATTCTGTGAAGAACCCAGCTTGTTCAGAGGGGTGAAAAAGCCGTAAAATCAAACCACGTCATGCAGATCAGTTATGTCGACAACCTGAAGTGCTAACCTGCACTACGCCACAACCGGCGTAGTGCAGGTTAGCATGAGAAACAAATCGTACGCCGTCGAGGTAAGTCATTTATTATTATTATTATTATTGAGCTTGTCACGTAAATAAAGAATTGCATGTCTATCGCGATTTCGCAGTATTTTGCTTTTTCTTTCTTGGTTCTCGGTTGGTTTTCTCTCGGTTGCTTTGGCCCTTTTTTTACATGGAGGCAACTGTCCGCCATTGCTACGTGCACTCACCTTATGTTTTTTATCCAGTTCTTTCGCGCTTTGTGGTCTAGAGGAAATCTAAAGAAACTGCAAGAATCTTTCTCCGCGCGATGGTTACAACTAGGTTCGAAACACCTTTTCATAACGCAAGTCTGCAAAAAAAAAAAAAAAAAAAAAATTTGGATTTTAACCGATCGCCTGAAAATGCTTTTCTCACGGGTGCAATGCGATCTTGTAGCACGTGGTCATCTCGATCGACGCTCGGGCTTTCGGTATACCATATTTTGCATCGCATCACACTATGAATTCTTATAAGTCTCTGAAACTCATTATATTTCAAACAAATGCAATATAAGAATATCGTCTCTATTCACACGATTCAAACGACTGCGCCGGCTTGGCCGGCGAGCGTATGGCAGACAGCGTACTTGCATTCGTCGTCTGCTGCAGGCATATTGAGGACCGGAAGTTGCAGTCATAAATATTTCAGAAAGAAGCAATTACCGGCACACTTCTTTCGAAATATACATGACATTCAAGCTTTCTATATCTGTGATGTCTCCACGAGCGTTCTGAAAGCTCATAGTGACAAGAGTAAAATAAAAAAAAAATAAAAAAATTAGCCGCCATCTTGGCACCTCGGTCCTGGGAATTTCGGTACTCTGAGAACATTCAGTGACTCTAGCAATTGCCATATAAAGCAACTTTCATGTTTCAACTCGTCGCTAAAGGATGGCGCTGTTATTTTGCTCAGTCTCGGTGGACGCCAGCGGCCCAGGTTTCAGGGGTGAGTTTCCCGAAAGAGAGTTTTAGTAACGTTGGACGGAACTTACCAGGATAGCAAAGTAGAAAACGGGCCAAGCGGGATTAGAACCCCATCTCTCTGTGTGGCATACTCGCGCGTGATGAACTCCGTTGCGCACGCGGAAATATTACGGGTTTTGCTGGTTACCAATAATTTTCTCCACAATTGTTATGTTATCGGTTAAAGTAAATATTTATGACCCTTTAACTAAATTTGTCAGTGAAAATGCCGAACGAACATAAATCAGTCGGAATACTACCAATTATCATCAATATTTCATTCGTTTTTCAATACGGCATGTGACCTAAAACAACTAGAAAAATACCCTACTTACATGAGGACATCGTTTTCGGTCGGTCATTTTAGTTGTTTTTTTTTTCTTACGGATAATACATATATATATATATATATATATATATAGGTGAAGTAAGGTAAATATAAAAACATTGGACCGGGAAAAGTTAATCAGTCAAAGATGCGTACAGTCGGAGTTACTAATTCGAAGTTTATTACGACGTATACATATATCAGCCCTTTGTGTACTGTCAGTTTAGAATTCGCTTAACTAAGTAGACGACTTATATATATATATATATATACATATATATATTTTATATATATATATACAACTCGTCTACCCAGTTCAGCGAATTCGAAACTAACAGTACACAAAGAGCTGGTCAAGAATGGAGTCCGCCGAAACCGGTGACCGGGATGGTCTAATATGTTAAGGCGTCGCCCCGGACAGGCGAAGGTTGCGGGTTCAATCCCCGCTCCTGGCCCGATAGAGGGATTTTGAATAAGGATATGTTGACTTCAATGTGATATTGCGCTTTAGGTGACCTATTTTAACACGTATCTTACAAAATAGGTTACCTGAAATGAAATTTCGCATTCAAGTCCTTATAACACTATTCAAAATCACTCTATCGTCGTGAATTATTGTCTGATTGTGCTTGGTTACCAATAGCAGAGAATGTTTCAAAGCCAGGGGATAACTAACATATGTCCGACATATATCTCGAAGTTTGAAAATGCTATTCGGAAAATAATAGTGAAATGGGCATAAAAACAACACAATGAGTTAAGACTAAACTGTAGGGAAAATTATTACTGACGCTGAGAAAAGGAGGACCAAGGGCTCATGCAGGTGCGGCAGTGTTAAGACAATTCAATAAATAAGGTGTTTTTTAAAAACGTGTTTTTCTAGTCTAGATGTATGTTATTAATGTAACAACCCTGAACTAAAAGCAGAAGTTTGAAAAAAATTGCAATGCAAATTTATGATCTTGATGGACCAAGATATACGCGCAAAACGCCATCCAATGTGACACATTATCACGTCACGCTGTTTGTTATTCCTAACTCGAAGTTATGCAGACCACTGTCTGTTTTGTGAAAAGAGAAAGGCAATCATTTCTTAATTGTCATTACAAACAATCTTTGTTACCCGCCGTTTTTGTACCTCTTTATCTCGTAACCTTGTCGTAAAATTTCCAGGGACTGTTATCTAGACTGTCGACTCAGTGTTTCATTAATGCGTTAGCACTAGCTCCCACATGACAGGGTAAGCACTTCTGGCAAGATGTGGAGTCAGAGAGCAGGCAATAGGAAAGAAGAACAACTAGGCTCGTGGGAAAGCGCGTGAACCAGGGTCGCTGCACGCAGGAGATAAAGATCGTTCCGATGCTAGCTCAAAGCTCTGGTCTCGGGTCCTTGTCTCTTGCTTTCGGCTCACGACAGTTTCCAACAATCTTTGCTAGCTGGTCTCTTTCTCTGTCTCTTCTATCTCGGAAGCTTTGCTCAAACTTAATTGGTGCCATTATCCAGGGAATTCACTTCTATGTTTATTGCGGTCAGATCATAAATGGTTAACATTGCCTATAAAATGACCGATACAGCGAAAGGTCACAATATCCTCTTTGGCAATAGCAAACCAGTCGTCTGCTTGGCAATGCAGTCAAAGGAGTGGAAACTGCGCTCTGTGTCTAATGAGCCAATTTTCGGCTATTGGAAATCGAGGCGACTTGGGCATCCGATTAGGAATTTGTTAGTCTTCAAAGGTGTCAATTTTCAAGAAAAACTCTATCTCATTCACAGGCCACTGCAATATTTTGACGCCCAGTGGTTATCGGAGAAACCTCACCTTGACCTGAAATTTCCAAACTTGCCTTATTACTTTGAAGGAGACGTCAAATTGACGCAAAGCCTGTGTATCCTGAGGCACCTCGGTAGGAAGCACAACTTGGCAGCTGAAACAGAAGCGGAGACTACTGAGCTTGACGTTCTGGAGCAGCAAGCCACAGATCTTTGCGAGAGTATTCGCGAAGCGGCGTTTTCTCCAGTTGAGCCTCATTCCATGAGACCGTACGAAGACAGGCTGGACGAAGTACTGGGACCTTGGATGGTGCATCTGGAAGGTCGACAGTGGGTTCTTGGAGATCGTCTGACCTACGTGGACTTCCTCCTCTACGAGGGACTGGACTGGCATCGCCTATGGAAGGCTGACGTGTTCAAGAATTACCCGACTCTCGATGCGTATGTGAGAAAATTTGAGGACCTGCCCAACCTCAAGACCTACTTCCAGTCGCAAAGGTACTTCCAGTTTCCCATCTTTGGACCTCGTGCCAAGTGGGGATTCAATGAATGTGACAAATAATTTATTGTGTGTCCTCAAAAAGACATTACCGCAGCTAATTTATATTCAATAGCAAAGATTTAAGGTGGTAAATATAGTTATAAGAAGCTTTTACCCTTTTTTGTTTCAAGAGATCAATCAGAAAGTGTTGACATTGATTAAAATTCAACTCAAATCTTCAATTTGTCAATCCTGGTTTTGTTTCATTTTTGAAGAGAGGCATACTCCTGTGCAAATTACTAGTTTAACGGTTTGCATTAAGCCTAAGACAGTTATATCGTTTTTGTGTTCTCGCTTCAGATATTCAAAATTAAACTTTGTCTTAAAGTGTAAAGATGTCAAATATATTAGTTAATCATGTGTATCATTTCCTACTGTTGTGCTCCTGGTTATGGTATTTGAAGAAGAATGATTGTCGACAACTGGAGAGACATCTGGGGGGGCTAAGTTCGGCACAGAGAGATCAAGGTGAGTTCTCCGCAAAACTTGCCACCTGCCGCGATTAATAAGCGCCGTGCGTGATGACGCGCGCCGTCACTCCCTAGGTCGTGACGTCACAATGGAGAATTTGAGGCGGTCGGAGAGCGGCTTTTTCGAAACTCGCGGCGAAATGCGGTGACGTCACTTTGAGGTGGCAGGAGCCGCCGCGAATGCGCCCAGCGATCTCTGAAAAAGGTCAATTGCGATAGCGAGCCACTACGAAGAAACGCTGAACAGCTTGCAAGAATTTTCAGCTTCGGAGGGAGTGAAGCAGATACGGAAATCGACTATGAACGCAGCGCGAACACGGAACTCTGCTGCGTCACGCTCTGCTCCGGCGCGGGACGCGAAGGAGCGTCGATGCTATCGCTGCGGTTCTGCTCAGCATATGGCCAATTCTACGAGTTGCAAGGCCAGAGATAAACGCTGTTCGAAGTGCAAAAAAGTAGGCCATTTTCAAGCGGTGTCCCGGAGTACGAAAGACAAACAGAGCGTTAAGCAAGTTCGAGATCAGGGAGAGGCGTGCACGACGCTCCTACACGTAGCGACGAGCGACGCGCGCCGCGGCATTTACGTCAAAGTTCAAGTCGAAGGCGTGGAAGTTCAGTTTTTGGTAGATACAGGATCGTCGGTATCTATTATCACGGAAGATATCTACATGATGCACTACCAAACGACTATGCCGTTGACCGCGCAGTCTGTAACCCTACTCGACCACTCTAGCGGCGAGATTTCAGTGAAGGGTTGTTTCCTCGCGAACTTCCTGCATCAGCAGAGGTCCACATGCGTGCTTTTCTACGTTGTCCGACAAGGAACCGCAATGCTTGGACTGGACGCATTTCGAAACCTGGACTTGTGCATTCAGGGGTCTACACTGTTAACAAAAATAACACGCCCAGACGTGTAAACCGTTGTCCCATAGCGGACACGTCGAAACGTGTTCGTTTTACACGGAGCCATCTGTGTTTTTCGTCTACACATGAGGTGCTGTGTAAAGTTAACACGCTACACCGTGTTTGCCTTCCGAGAAGCACGGTTCAACGTGTTCCTTATGAAACATGGCGGCCAGCAGCCGAGAACAGGCGAGGGACGAGCCCAGCCAGCCGCGCCTTTCAGCCGAACTGAAAGCATACAGGACGCGTTCGTTCTCGTTCGATGTCTTTTATGCACAGTAAACAGTCTCCGAGCGGCGGACGTAGCTACGTGCAAAGGTACCTAGGTGCATCGTCGGCGGTCGGTGGCGTCGGCAGCTACGACAAAACCGCTAAACAAAAACAAAAACAAAAAAAAAAAAACGAATATTGAACTTACATGGATAAATAGCTCAAGCAAACTCTTGTAATCGGGCGGTAACTTGCGCCACCTAGTGCGATTTCTAGCAACCAATGAAAAAAAATCAGGAGTCGGTTAATACGCTGGGAACTATCACGAGCAGACTGCTTCTCATACATCACAGACAACACGAGCACCACGTAGAACACAGCAGCGACACATACACAAACACAACACCGACACTACGCCCGACACTTCCTACTAACAACGGACTCTCCCCGCGGCGTATGTATGCTTGACATGTACGGGTGAGCTCTTTGGTCGCTGATCGTTACCGATTTATAGAAGAAGACACAAAACACGGCACAATGGACAGCCGTATGTAAGAACTGTTTGCATTTAAAAAGTATGGAGGCAAGATCTGTAAAATTAGTCCTTTGCGAAAAACAACTATGTACTAACAATAAATCTTAAACCAGCCATGAAAAAGTTCAAATTTTTGTTATTTTCATGCTCGACCAGTGTTATGAGCAGTCCGACTCGCTTGAATCAGATAGAAAAACAAATGATTGGGATTTTATCAGTACGTATTCAATAATCAATGGAAATTATACTTGCGCAAGGCATTTTTTATATATATTATTGTGAAGGACATCCGCCCAACACTTCACTTCCGCTAGTTGTAGTACGCGTACGGGAGCAGACGCCTTCACTTTTGGGGCGTTTTGATGCAGATTGTTGTCGTATGTCGTGTTGGTGTCGAGCGAAGCGGTGAGGCTTGGGAGTTTGTGACCGGTGTTATTCGTGATCGTTAATGTGGCGCTGATGCGTTTTTTTTTTTTTTTTTTTTAATATTTCTATATAGCCACATTGAAAATTCACGAGCCCGTGGCACTGCATTATGCTAAAATCGCGAGCTCCTTCTCTGTTGACGTCGTTTTTCTGGTAGCACTCGTGGATACTGCAAGCGTTTAAACAGTGCACAGTCTCGCCTACATCCGCGGTGACGTAATCGACCTGTTGAAACTTATTGCTTGCGTCATTTTGGAGTACGCAAGGCAATTATCTCGCTGCTCTGGTTTCGGTTATAAAAGCAAGGCAAAACGCTCGTAGTTCCCGCCCTCAGTACACGTTGGACATCTTCCACACTTTGACACTGGATAACTGGATGAACGAGGATTTACATTTACTTCAGAGGTCACACTCGCCGCTTCCTCACCGTCGAGCAGCAGGATCAGCTGGCGACAAGCCGCGTATGAAAGGCTCGAGCATCAACAGCCCAAGTGCACTCGGTGCCGATGCGGGCGATGCGGGTTTCTGTCAACCGCTAGCCCAGCACAGACCGTGACCGTTCCAGCTCTTCGTCATGACGCGGTGTTGCAGAAAGCAGCGTATAATACCACTACACGGACCACCGAAGCGAACGCACTGTTATCGTAAATTTTGGCTTGTGATTGCGCCTAAATTTGTAAATAATCTTATTCTTTTTTCTGGAGACGCAAACGAAGGGCATAACAAAATCGTTTGCATATTCCGCATACCTCGCAAAAGCATCAGTCACCTTGCGAGAAGCGCAAAACACGGTGTCCGCACCGTCCTGACTTCCCAGTCTTTTACCTGCTTTAGAGCAGTTTGTACCTGTTAGTAGGTATGTCTACTGAAACTGCAACTTGAAACTTGGGACAGTGCCAGAGGGAAAAGAGACAAATTCGGGCCTCTTCCCAATGTAAAGAAAAACCACTATGTTCTCTACGTAAAAAATTGGTCTCAGTTCATGCATCTGTGGGCAGGTAGAAAATCTTGCCCTAGTTTATTCACACCGCATGATGAGCGCAACAAACTCACACGAGTCACACGAGATTTACAGGAAAACATCGGTGGTGACTTAAGTTTCCCTGAAATTCTGTATAACCGGTCGTTTGCGGGACCGAATCCTCTACTCGAGCGGTGTGCGTCGCTGTGCGAACACGTCGCTGTGCAAATGCAGTCTAACGACACGAAGCATAGAAACGGCAGATTTAGGGAAACTATCCGAAGTCCCTTGTTCAATTAAAACGACGTAATTTTGTTGAAAACGTCCGCAGCATTTTACTCACGGTATGCGTCGGGAATCTTCCACATTTTGAAACGGAACGAAGGAAGATTTACTTTTAAGAACGCTCGCTGCGTCCTCCCCGACCAGCTGGACCGGATCAGCTGACGACGACGGGGCTAAACCCGTCAAGCGCAACCCCACAACAACCAATATGAGCTCCGCGTTAGTGCGGGTTTCTACCTACAAGCACCGCACCACACACCACGAACGTTTCGGCCCTTTCTCGCATCGCCGTGTTGCCCCAAACAGAACGAGATCGCCGAAGAACGCAGCGCTGTCGTGAGCCTTGGCTTGTGGTTGCGCACTCGTGGACCCTGTGACTCCCCTCGCTTTCAAAGCACACACAACGAATGGTACTTTCCGTCTCCCGGGAACATCACAGGGGCACTTCTCCGGTCACGTCTTCACTATGTGCTCGCAAACTGCGAAGCTCTATGCGAAGCTTCTCGCGTCCCGTCAAACCAAAACAATAGCGGCTGCCAGAAATTTCTCCGGTCAAACAAAAAGAACGAAAGCCAACCGGCTCTTGCTTCCACCGTACATCGACGTTGCGCTTGTGCCATGGCCAGATCGGCCAGATCGCTTGCAGTTGAAGCAGTTGAAGGTTGAAGCAAAAACGAAACCAACATGCAATGTCACGTGTTCACATCGAAGACACGCTTTTTATATCCATTTTAACTGTTTTGAACGAATAATTGGACCCATGACTTTATTTGTGGTGTGCAAGAAACTATTATCAAGAGCCCTAAACTAAATGCAAACATGGGCGACATGAGGGAAGCCGCATTGCCGTCGACCAGAAAATGGCGGCGAGCCACGGTAAGCGCGGGTTTCGCCAACGTCCCGCGACATGGCGTAATTGCTTTTGGTGCATATCTGTTTCCGAGACATGTTTCTTTCCGCGGCATTTGTCTCGACGGTCCTTTCTAAGTGTGTCCCCAAGCATTCCAGTGCTTCGATAGCCGGCAATGCCGTGGTCGTCGCCGGAGGCGATGCGTGTTATCGAGGTCGGCTACACGGTTATGCGTGTATGACCGAACCAAAACACGTTTTTTACAACCTCGCATGATATCTGAACGTATTATCCGTTACTCATCGTGTAAATTTATGGTAATTTGTGTAAATAGCGTGTTTTTCACCCCAAATATTCACCAAATACACGGCACTTGCTAACAGTGTACCCTACAATGCCTGCAGACGTATGTACTCACAAGTACCAGTTTCGCGCGTCTGCCAATGGAATTCCGTGCAGAATTCGGCCATCGGTTCGCGGATGAAGTTGGACTCGTAAAAGGGTTTGCACACCATGTCAAGCACAAGCCTGGCGTG